AGAAGGCTGAGTGGGGATCTGGTGGCCGTCTATAAACTTACCAGGGAGGACCAGCGGGGAACAGGAGTGTCCCTGTTCCCCCGAGCACTACCAGGAGTAACTAGGAATAACGGCTACAAGTTAACTTGAGAGTAGGTTCAGGCTAGATATCAGGAGGCACTACTTCACAGTCAGGGCAGCTAGGATCTGGAACCAGCTTCCAAGGGAAGTGATGCTCACTCCTACCCTGGGCATCTTCAAAAGGAGGCTAGATAATCACCTTGCCGGGGTCATTTGACCTCAGCATTCTTTCCTGCCGTGGCAGGGGGTCGGACTTGATGATCTGCTCAGGTCCCTTCCAGCCCTACCAACTATGAAACTATGGAGTTTGAACTCTGTCCAAATTTGCAAATGACACCAAATTATGGGGCAAAGTTAGCACACAGATGGGCAGGAAACAGATTCAGGTGGATCTGGACAGGTTGGAAAAGTGGGCAGATCAGAATAGGATGCAGTTTAACAAAGATAAGTGCAAAGTCCTGCATCTAGGGAGAAAGAATCACTAACACACATACAGATTGGGAGATGACTTTCTAAGTAGCACAGCGGCAGAAAGGCATCTTGGAGTCATAGTATACTCCAAGATGAACATGAGTCATCAATGTGATGAAGTGATAAGTAAAGCTAACCACACTTTATCATGCATTAGCAGGTACATCACAAACAGGTCTAAGGAGGTGATACTTCCCTTCTATGCGGCGTTCGTAAGGCCGCAGCTGGAGTACTGTATCCAGTTTTGGGTGCTGCACTTCAAGAAGGATGTGGATAACTTTGAGAAGGTCCAGAGGAGGGGTACTTGTATGGTTAGGGGCCTGTGCGTATGGCCTTACGAGAAGAGATTGAGGGACCTGTATCTCTTCACCCTCTGCAAGAGAAGGCTAAGAGGTAATCTTGTGGCTATCTACAAATTCATCAGCGATGGGGGAGGCAACAAGGAATAGGAGATGCTCTGTTTATCAGGGTGCCCCTTGGGGTAACTAGAAACAATGGCCACAAACTGACAGAGAGCAGATTTAGGTTGGACATCAGGAAGAACTTCTTCACAGTAAAGGGTTACCAGATTCTTGAATGGGCTTCCAAGGGAAGTGGTGCTCTCCCCTACCTTGGGGGTCTTTAAAAGGAGACTGGACAAGCACCTAGCTGGGGTCATCTGACCCCAGCACTCTTTCCTGTCCAGGGCAGGGGGTCAGACTCAATGATCTACTTAGGTCCGTCTGACCCTAAAAAACTATGAAATTTATGAAATGTGTATGAGCACTGTGTTACTCTAACTGGAATAACCGGTTCATAGTCATTACCTACCTTTTCATTAAATATAGTAGGACACAAAGTTAACTTTTTTGGAGTAGGAGTGGATGAATCTATTCAACAAAAGATGGACTGATTAGCGTGAAAAAGTACTGACAGTCTCCACATTCACTATGGTTGTTTCAGTATTTGAATGCTAGTAGTGGAACCTATGAAAAGTGGCTAACCATTTTTTACTGTTTGAGATGGGGAGAAGGAGGGTTATGTGTTTAGTTTCAGAATTTGCTCAGTTATTGGTCGTTAATTTCAGTCACTCTAGTAATGAATAAGGGGATGCTGTTCATCTGATTGTTTTAAAGACTGGCTAATTTGTTTGTACTTCAAAACAGTACATTATTTTTTTGAAAAGCTTTAATGGGTTGTGAGGGTAGCTGTGATCTCTTCCTAATGTTTAAACATGAAGAAAAAAGATAAAAAGAAATTTGCTATATAGGGGAAGCAATGAAACAATCTATGAAAAATACTGTCAAATATGAGTGGATAATACTAATACAGAAGAAAGATAATATAAACCTACCTTGATCAATAAGGACTATATTTTATGACTCCTTATTCACATTGTATTGTAGCTTTTACTATGCTGGAGTAAATGGAAATGCTTTTGGAGGAAACTGACACTCATTGTGGTTAAAAGGATCACAATCTCTTCCCCAAAAAAGGATGTTACAATAAATGGGTACAGGAAGCAGGTCTATAAGGGAAGAAGTTGATGTGTTTACATAATCACTTTTTCTAACTCAAACTCAGGCAGGGTTGGAAAAGTAGTTTTCAGGGACTGGAAAAGTAATTTGAAAAGCATTTCAGTTTCCTGCAGCTTCTATTATTCCCTGATGTAATAATAATAATAATAATCTGTTCCAGAGAATGTGTGACCAGTATGAGATTAGCTCTGATCCCGTTGTGCAATGTATCTTCTCCATTCTGCTGTTCGGGCTTTATTCGGGTGTCAAGCTACAGTTTAGAACACAGAGTAGTTCAGGTGTTTGAAGCAGAGCCCCAACAGTCAGTCTGCATGGGGAATAAAGTAAACTTCCACATATGAATGGCGAGCTCATGTTCTTGAAAGCAGTGTGAGAGATATTTGTAATGTGATGTTGCTCTTGTTATAACTTTATCAGTGTTAAAGGTTGCTAAATATTTCCACAGCTGAGACAAATATAACAAATATTAAAGTATAAAAACAAAGACTTGGAAGTGTTAATTTAGCAGTACGTTTTGAGATACAAATTTAAGTCTATTGAACACAATGACAAGGCCACCAAGAAGAGTGTAAGAGATCAGGGTGTATAACATGTAACCTCTATGCCCTCTTTAAACAAGGCACTTATTACTTTTTAACTTGTGATTATGCTTTCTGTCATTGCCTGAAAACAGTTAGGTGGTTGGGAAGTTTTTAGCCACTTGAAACTTTGGTACTTTGACATTAATATAAATGTGCCATGTGGAAAATACAAGGTTGGGACTTGATTCTCTCTCTAGAGCGGTTTTTACTCAAACAATCTCATTGATTTCTGTTGGACAATTTATATAAACAAGGACTACCCTAGAGAGTGAAAATAGTTTGAAAAATCCTCTAGTGCAACATATAAACCAGGAAAGGGGATTGATGCGATTGCTCTGTGTAGCATGTGGGATGTTCTGTTGTATAACAACAACATTTTCCATGACCATAACACTAAAAAAGGTAAAAGTAACTTCATTTTTTCAAAAGCATACAGAGCTAAATTTTAAAATGCCAGATAAACCCCAAGGTGCAATTGCATATGCATTTTGGTGGCATATCTAAATATATAGAAATATGTTTATAAGAGCAATTTAAGTGGCCACTGTTGCTGGGGATTTTATACCAAAGTAATTAAAAAAAATAGCTGGACATCTGTAGTTTTTAACAAGGGAAATATATAAAGAAAATCTACATGTAGCATGCTTAAATGCCAGCACCAAAAGGGCAATGATTATTCACTTCGCCATCTCATGTGTGCCCATACAGTTATAAAAATGGTTGCAACAGGTCTTGATTGCACAAAGAAAGAGTCACATTCTGTGATCCATCTTTTGATCACAGATGGTATGAATAGCAGTGAAATCCTTTTGACATCTTTCTGAGATTTTAATGGCATCCTTGTGATTGACTTCTTAAGTAAGCAGTCTTCTGCGCATATTATTGCAATTGGCTCAGTGAGAATCTGAAGTCAAACACTGGAAGCAGATGTCCAAGACAGGAGTACTGCTCCTCCGTTAACAATGCCAGACCACAAAAACCACTGAAAACTTGGAGTCTTTGCTTCTGCTTATAGGCCTTGCCTAGCTCCAAGTGACTTTTCACATGTTTGGTCCTCTAAAGGAAGCCCTTGTGAGGAGAAATGGTAGTGTCTAACGAGAAGATGCAATTTTTCCTTTTAATCTAAAATAGCTTTGGTGGGACAGTGGCAGAAGTGTGTTGACAAGCAGGAAGATTGCATAGAAAAGCGAACAAATGATAGATGCTACTGGCTGCAATAGAATATACTTTAGCATGTGTTGTGTTAGTTTTTTTGACTGACTGTCCAGCATGCATGCATAAGTAAGAAAGAATGCTTGTAAACCTGTAGAATACTAGTTTTTTCAGAATTACAAGAAAATAGTTTCTCACAGTTGCATAAAGCCAACACCTTTATGCCGGTCAAACACAGCTCTGTTATTAATGCTTTTATCCAGTTTCTAATAGCTTTTCCCAAATTAATTTTGTCTGGAATAACAAAAGAGAAATTGTAGCAGATGAAAATGTTACACCCAGTTAACATGCATAGCTTTCAGTTTTGTGTGTGCAACATGTATTTAAAAAAAAAGGCTGGACAAAATGTTTTTTGGTAGTCAACCAACTCTCCAGTTTCTTCAAACGATTTAAATACGAATTTTAATGGATCACAATGAAGGACACCCATCTCATTTTGCATAGTAATGATTGTCTCATTTAATATTGCCTTTGTTTCTGTGCTTAGGTTTCTATCCATGTTAGAAGAAGAAGTTTATAGTCAAAATTCTCCTATTTGGGATCAGGATTTCATGATGTCCTCTTCTCGAACTGGTCAGCTAGGAATCCAAACAGGTAAATGTGCATTTAGCACAGAGTCAAGGAGCACCTGTATGAAGAACACAGTATATTTACAAAATCGTTTATTAAGAAAATAGAATAAGCAAAGGGAACTGAAAATGCAGTTTTATATGGAAGATTGGACTGAAATCAGGAACTGAGTCTGTGTCTAAATATGCATAGGAATTTGGCACTGCCCAGTCTTTCTGATTCCTCAGGTAGAGGTCCTGCTCTGATGATTAAGTACTTCCAGTGGTCATCATTATGATCATGCCTTTTCAGTGAAGGATAATTGTCTTTCATGATTGCCTTATTTGTGGGTCTGAAGATAGCTGACAAGGCCAATGTGGGATCAACAGGTGCTATTGCAACTTGGACATGTGTTTCCATGCATGGTGGATGGCTCTGGATTTGTGGTTTGGTCCATGACACACTGTTTCTGCCACTCCTACTTTTCTGTTTCCTGTTATGAGGTTTTAAAGTACCAAGATCTTTTTAGCAGATTTTTCCTTCATTTGTGGTGTTCCTGGGTGATAGTCTACCATGAGTTGATGTTGCATTTTTTCAAGTTGGCCTTGAGGATGTCCATGAAATGCTTTCTCTGTCCTCCTCTTGAGTGTATGCCTGGACTGAGCTAGAAGAATAAAACTTGTTTTGGGAGCCTGGAGTCAGGCATCTGGATGATGTGGTTGGTCCAGCAAAATTGATGTTGGATTACCTCAATGCTTGTGCTGTTGCTTGCGAGAGGATGTTAATGATGCATCTGTTTTCCCACTGGATTCAAATGATCTTCCTCAGGCACTGTTGATTGTACTTCTCCAGTGACTTGGGGTGTCTCCTGTACATTGTCCGTATCTCAGCTCCATACAGTAAGGTAGGGATCACAACTACTTGATAAGCCATGAACTTGGTTTCAAATCTCATGTGTTGATCTTTGAACACCCGTTTCCTCAAGCATCTAAAGGCTGCACTTGTACGTTTGAGGTAATGTTGGATTTCTTCATCCATGTCAGCCTTCTGCAAGAGATGGCTTCTGAGGTACAGGAAATATTCAGTGTTCTCCAGTCTCACCATAAATCTAAATTACTGGAGTTGGGGACTTCTTATTAAGATGGAGGACCTTAATCTTCTGAATGTTAAGCATCAGTCCTACTTTCTTGTATGCCTCAGTAAAGGCGTTGTTGATTGCCTAAAGATCTGCTTCTGAGTGAGCACACACTACAGCATGATTAGCCTACTGGGAGGTCAGGGTAGTCTTGGTTTTGGCTTTGAGTTGGCTGAGATTATAGATTTTGTAGATTTCATAGATGTTAGGGCTGGAAGGGACCTCGAAGATCATCAAGTCCAGCTCCCTGCCCTAGGGGAAGGAGGTCAGCTAGGGTCAAAGGATCCCAGCAAGATAAGCATCCAAGCGTTACTTGAATAAGTCCAGAGTAGGTGCCTGCACCACTTTTGGAGGGAGTCTATTCTAGGCCTTGGGGGCTTGGACAGCAAAGGATATCCTCTTCATTCCAGATCCTTAAATTGAAGGCATGGAGGTGTCATGTAAGTCCCTTTTCCCCCTGTTTGAAGATTTTGGCAAGAATTCCATCTGCTCCAGATGCCTTATCATTCTTCATCTGCTTGTTGGCTTTTCCTCACCTCATCAAGGATTGGAGGGATTTTGAGATTCTTTGACTGGGTGTTGTGGGAGGGAATTGAGAACACACATCAATACCAGAATCTTGATTTGAGAAGGCCTTCTAAAGGCTCCTTCCAATGGGCGTTGATGGCTCCTCTGTTCTTGATCAGGTCTCTTCCATCTTTAGGTCTCAAAGGGGTTGGTCCCTGAGTGCTCTTGATGGTTTTGGCAACACTAAAGAAACTGTGCATATCATGGATGTCAGCAACATGTTGAATCCTTCACCTTGTCTTTCCACCATCTGTTCTGTATATCACAAGTCCTCTTTTGGACCTCTGTCTTGGCTTGTTGGAGATTCAGTTTCTTTTATTTGGAGTTGGTGTCATTCTACCAAACACAAAAGGCCTTTTGCTTATGGTCGATCAACTCTTCGATCTTCCGGTCATTCTCATCAAATCAGTCTTGGTGTTTTCTGGCAGAGAATCCAAGTGTCTCTTCACAGGTGCTGATGATGGTGGACTTGAAGGCACCCCAAACACTGCCGACATTCTCCCATAGTTGATTAGAATTTGCCAATTTTTCATTGAGGTGCTGATGGAAGAGGTCTCGCTTGATTGGGCCCTTGAGCCCTTCGATGTTGACCTTCTGTCAGCATTGCTTCTGCTGCAGCTATCATTTGGGAGCCAGTTTGAGTGACATGACTGTGTGGATGAGTGAGTAATTGGTCCAGCAATTGGTAATTGGTCCAGCTTCTAGCATAGCTCAAGTGTTGGAGACATTTTTGTGATCTGGGGCACGAATTATGATGTAATCAATCAAGTGCCAATGCTTAGATCACAGGTGTTAAAATGATGTCTTGTACGTGGTTTTCTGGTAGACCACAGTGTTGGTAATGGTGAGTCTATTCCACACCTTTGGTCAAGAGGAGGATGCTGTTGGGATTAACCTGTTACATTCCTTCCTTGCTGATGGTTCTGTTCCAGAGGCTTGAGTCTCTTCCAACTCAGGCATTGAAATTGCTGAGCAGAATAAGCCTGTCTCCCTCTGGAATATCAGAAAGGACTTGGTCAAGGTTGGCATAGAATTCCTCTTTTTTTTTATCATTGGCATCAATAGTCAGGGCATAAGTGCTGATGACAGTGGCATATTGGCTCCCTGCCAGTTTGGGGTGGAAAGTCATAAAACGCTCATTGATTCTGATAGGGAACTCTTTGAGTTGGTTTATGAGTTCATTCTTAATGGCAAAGCCAGCTTCATGAAGTTCATGTTCTCCTTCCAGAAGAAGGTATAATGACCTCCTTGTTCTTTGAGCTGCCCATCTCCCACTTGTTGGGTCTCAGAGCAGTGATGTTAGTGTTGTGTTGCTGGCGTTCTCGAGCCATGATTGCAATGTGGCATTCTTGGTGTTCACTATTAGGATTGGCCATGAGGATCTTAGTGTTCTAGGTCCCAAAACTGATTGTGTGTCTTCATTGATATTGACCACGGTAAATATGATCCCACTGGATATGGTTATTCAGTCAGGAAAAGGTAAGCAAACTATGTTTAGGGCACCTTTTTTATCCCCCTCCCCATGTGGGGTGAGTAGAATGGATCCTTAACAGGGCTGCTCAGTCGCAGTTATAGCTGTTGAATCACGCTTCTGCCTAATCCAAGTGCTAGATGACCTTGTAACTGCCTCCTTTGTGCCAGACTAGGAGCTTCTAGGCCTCTCAGTTCTGCTCCCATTGTTACTAGCTGGTTGCCAAAGGGCTTGAAAAATGTACTAAAGCTGTTTTCATGGAAGCCACCTATGTGTGATTTCTTTTTTCATGGAAAAGATACTGCACATCAGCTTCTACACAATTCTTGACAGAATGGGACCTTGATCCAATGGTAGGGATGCTAAAACAATTAGAGATCTCATTCCACTGCAGCCTTCATCTGCCTTCACAGCTGTTGAGATTCTGACATCATCCTCCGCTTGCTCTGCCATTGAGGAATTGTCTAGCCCCCAATCATGGGTCTACAGGCTTATAGTGGTGACCTGTACTCGCCATGTCACAGCACTGTCAGAGGACATATGTGACTTTCAGGAGGGAGAGCGTTACCATCTGCTGTCCCCGTCACATCTTCGTGGTGCTGCTGTTGCTTGGTCTGCAACTGCTTATTCGTCAGTTACCCCTGCTTATTTCACAGCTAACCCTCCCGGAGGGTCATTCCACTGTCTGCCACCTGTGGAAGCACTGGGTAGTAGCACAACTCTGCCACCAGATTTCCAGTGGTATGTCTTCATAGAGAAGTCTGGCAGCATCTTGCCTCAAAATATTTGTTGTCTTCTCTTAGTAACATGCATTCCTTTATTTGCCGTGTTCTTGTATAGATTTCATAAGCATTGCCTCATGTCTAGTTGCACTTTCTGCCCCTTGCCTACTGTTCATCGGTTCAGTTCTATGCCTGATTTTCCCCAATGAGAGATTTCCAGAAGTCTATTCTAATATTCTGTTTTATTCTACTTTTAATATGGAGTGCTGCTGAAAGCATGTTGGATATTCATTTACAGTGAAGTTAATGATTGCTTAATCTTTCAGTTAATGGTAAAGTAAATTCTAATATCTCAAATGGTATTTTTTTTACTGTCATTGCAGTGATCAATCCTCCTCCTGTGGCAAGGTCTATTTCGTACAGTGCAAGTCCTTCATCTCTAGAACAACCCAACAGTGGAAGTATGAGTCCTGCTTGTAAGGTTTCTTCTGGTCTTGACCAAAACCTAGGTAATTTAGAAAGAAAGCTGATCTTGTTTAATTATTTTATCATTCTTTTATGTTGTGTCAAACTACTGTATTTACTCAACTAGAAGATGGCCATGGTTATAAGATGACCCCCAATAATTAGATTACATATATAGAAAGTTTATAAACTAGTTATGATTTTCCAGGTATAAAATTGAATTATTGGAGGTTTGCCTTGAATTTATCCTTTTCCTCCTGCAATAGCAGGGAAAATAAATCTGAGAGGGTCAGGAAGCCCTTTGTTCTTTACTTCCTCCAACTTTTTCCCCTGGATGCTCCTTTCCCCTCTCATTACTGTCAGACTCTGCTTTCCCTTAGCACATGGAAGTGAGGAACAAATTTGAAAACAATAACCTTGAAACTAAACATGGCTGTAGCAATTTGCATATAGCATTCATAGACTTAGTTTATCCAGGATTGATCATGTCATAGGCTCTGAGTACAGGGGGCCTGAGGGCCCTGGCTCCCCTTGGGAAGAGGGTAGTGTAACCACCCTAAATGCACAGGACAGTCCCAAAATGGGAACATCAAGTCCTGGTCCTGGGCTTCATGACTTCAGGACTGCAATTGTTCTGATTCCCAGTATAGTGCAAGAATCTGGGTTTTCCATTCACTGTGGAAAAATGTGGGAAATGGCGGTTTTCCCCATGAAGGCTGGCAGAATTCCAGCCTGCAAGGGGCTGCAGGGAATGGGACACAACGGGGCACCACGTGCACATGTGCACAGGCATACATGCACATGGCTAGGATACAGCCCCAGGCAGTGGTGGAGAGCAGCTCCCCCAGCTGCCTGCCAGTAAGCCTATGGGGGCACAGATTGAGGGCCCCCACAGTGTGGGAGGGTGTGGGGCAGGGGCTGAGCCTGGGGGTGCTGCCCAGCCAGGGCTGTGCGTGGGGCCCAGGGCCAGGGTGGGAAGTGGGACAGAGCCATGGGTGGCATGTCCAGGGGGCAGAGGGGTGGCTGCCTTCTAGTATGTGCACTCCCAGGGAGGGGAAAATGGGGGGGGAAGGGGGGGCAGGCAGGTGCCTCCAAAATTTGTGCGTGGGGTGGGGGCAGATGCAGGCTGGTTACTGAGGCCTTGGGGCTCCCCATCCTGCTGCCCTCCCCCTGGGAGTTCTGCATCAGCCACGCCAACATGGCAAGGCACCCCCTGCCCACCCAGGTGTAGTGGGTATGACTGTGGAGTTGTCCCCTGCTGATGCTGTGTGGGCAGGGGGCACCTTGCCATGGTACTGTGATCAGCATAGGGCTCCCAGCAGGAGGGCAGCAGAGTGGGAAGCCCTGAGCCTGCAGCGGCCAGCCTGCATCTGCCCCCTCTCTCCCATAGACTCTGCTTGGCTCTGCTCCAGCCATGCTGCTGGGTGGGGGGAAGGGGCATCATCCTAGGCCCAGCACCTTTGATGCATGTAACCTTTTCTTTTTTTTTTGTTAACTGATGCAAGTTTTAGCAGAAATGTTTCATAAACACACTTTGGAGCAACACTTTGGTGCCTACTTATATCTAAATATTACTGTATGGGATGCAGTGTTACCATAATGTGCCCAGGACAGCATTATTATAGATTTGCGGTATTGATAGTTCAAGACCATGATAATACAAGTTTCTGAAGTGGATATTGCAATGCAAAGAGAGGCAATGTTGTTTCATTTCAGTGTCAGTTTATAGAGATAATATAATGCAAAATCATGTCTGTTCCTATTAATGCTGACATTCCACCATAAATGCAATGTTGCAATGATAGTGTTTTCACATGATAACTTACTTGCTAGGAGTATAGTTGATATAAATGACATGTCTTTCTATTCCTAGAGTATTTTTTTTAAAGGAAACGGTACATAAGCATAAGATCTGATGCTGCTGGAGTGTGAGCTAACTAAAGCAGGGACACAGTGTGAGTTGATGATTTGTAACCTAGTCTCATTGTGTTTTGCCACACAAAATACAATCAGTTACAGTGGGAGAAGATAAAGTGCAGATAAAGCTGTATAAGTATTTCTGAAATTGACATTGTTGGTATTTATTGTTTCAAGGCCTTTCATGTTAAAACAGTTAAACATCTTTGATTTATGGTTTTACTGTTAAGGTACCCAAACTGCAAATTCAAGCCAAACCCTGTTCCTTTGGTTTCTTTCTATCCCTTATTGCCATCAGTAACAATTGCAACTTAAGTGCTAGATTTGTTGATGTATGAGTCAGAACAGACTACGTCTCTATCTTCTACAATTGTATTGTTTGTTTGTTGCTGGCAGGAATAAAATTAATTTTTTTCAATAAAGCCATGCATTGAGTGGAAATGTTGAGTTGAATAAGGTTCTGTTTTTTGTCACTTCTCCTATACTAAAACCGCCCTTGAGTTAGCACTGGAAAGATAACATGTTTTATCAGTAGGGGATAAGTATGTAGAGAGAGGGAACTGTTTTCATTACCATATGTGCAACGTTATTACACTTTGTTTGCAAAGTGGCCTCCTTGAATATCATTGTTCTTCAGTTTGAGACTGAGGAGAGAATCCTGTGTGTTGGATTCTCACATTAACATACAAACTAAGTTAAGGAGACTTAATCAAGGGAAGGGCTTAATGAAAATTTCATTATTTTAATTTATTGACATGTCTATTTTATACTTCTGGCATTATTCATCCTTTTTAGAAATGTCTTTATTTGTCATTTTTATCTGATATTTTTCTGCTTCCTTTACAATTTATTTATGTTTTATTTTGTTCCATCTTCAAATTCTAGGATTTTTGAGTACCATAGAATTGACACTGGAAATTCTTTTCTACCCAGTCCCACAATCTAGGTTTTTCTGTCTTGTGGGAAGAAGCAGCATGGAACCCTAAAATCTTATACCTTATAACTCCTTCTTATAGTTTATAACTCCCCTTTGGTCAATACATTACTTGGACCATTGTATGAACAAAATGGCTATTTCTCTATATACAGTATTTTTACCCCAAATATTCAGCTTTTAATAAATGAATGCTTCTAGCTTCTTTGTAGTTCATGGATACATATACTGCCTAGTGCTTTTGCCATTCCTTCATCTGTTCTTTCCTCAGCTGGAAGAAAAAGAATTGAACCACACATGCACCTCTTCAAGATTACCCCATATGAGACAACACTGTACATTTTTATTGCCAATTCAATGGTAGCTAAATTGTAATTTAAACACATAATACTAGGTTGCTTTGCAAGAACTGTTGTGATTTTCTAGGGCTTTGAGTAACTAATAGATTCTTTCCAGACATAACAACAAAGGATTGATCATACGTCAGGGCCTTGAGTTGCAAAATTGACTTCTTGTGTTGCTGAAAGAGGATTTCAAATCTTAGTTTATTTACAGAAAACAGTTAAACTAGGAAAGCAATTAACTTCCTGCTTGTACTTGTGAAAGCTTAATCTGATCCAGTGAAATGTTTAATAGACTAATTTGTTATGAAGGGAATGGAGAATCTGTCTGTGACAACTTGTTTGGCTTGCACACAAGCATTTCTTTTTGTTTGTTTGGTTTGATTTTGAAGGGGAGAAGAGAAAGAATGCTGAGCTTTATTCTCTGGAGGATTCCAAAAGGCCAAGAGTTGTAGGAGATATTCCTATTGAATTGATCAATGAGGTGATGTCAACAATTACAGATCCGGGTGCAATGCTGGGGCCAGAGGTGAGAGATTTAGAATTTACAAAGTTTGATGGTCCATGTTTGAAATGACTAAAACACAAATTGGATGAGATAAAGTATTGAAACATACAGTCCATTATATTTGTCATGTTGTCTATATTTCTCTTGTTGATTATATGCAGTATTTTCACCCCAAATGTGTAAGAAAATATTGATGAAATGCATCATTTGACACAATAAAAATAGTCAGCAAAAATATGTTTTCTGAGAAATAGTGAATTAAAAAAGCAATTCAGCATCGGTGGTATTTCAGATTTTTGAAGCATTTCTTTACTGCATCTTCTACAGAGTATTTCTATTATAGAACACTAATTTATAATGCTTGATTGTTAAAAGCAAATGAGCTCATACTTTTTCTAAGACCTGGATGAGATTAGTAGAAGCCTTGCACCTCTTTTTTGCTTCGTCTGTTTTTTTGTTAGAATTTCACCAAGCACACCTTCCACGTTAACCAGTATAAAATAACATTGGACATATATATTTTTAGAAATGCAGGACTGGAAGGGGTCTCTTGGTCATTGAGTTCAGTCCCCTGCATTTATGGGCCATCATTTACCTAAGAAATGCTCAAAATTGCCATTTTAGACGCTCATATAAATACAAAGCACAAAACCAGAAACACCAAGGTTACTCTATAATATGCTGTAAGTAAAAGTAAAAGAAATGAGGGCACTGCCAATGTAACTGCAGTCACAGGGAAGTAGTTGGTTAATACGTATTCAGAATCTTGTAAGAAAAAGACTGTCCGTCACATTACATAGGAAGGAAAAACTCCCTATAGTCCATGCCATTCTGATGTAAGAGAGAAACTGCTTCTTTACCTTACATTTGGTGATTGGTATGATCCTAAGTGGAAGATGAACCTCTGGGTTTTCTTGGTAGGAGCACAGGCGTATTTAAACCTACCCAGGCCTAACTGTGGCTAACATCCCAATGCTTCAAATGGGGAAAAAAACGAACAGAAACCCTCAGCCCCCTAGAAGCCAGTAGTATTCCAGAAGGGAAAAAAATCCTTCCTAGTCCCTGTTTGGCCAGCAAAAGCCCTGAAACATAGGATTATCATACGCCTTGCATGTTATAAGAGCTTCCTCTATACCCCAACATGAGTATTGCAAATACAGGATTCCACACATCATGTACACTGAGTGTTGAGTTGTAACTCCCTGTCCTATCAGACCATTCCTTCCATAAACTCATCAAGATCAATCTTAAAGTGAATTCAGGTTCTTTTCCTTGACTATTTGGCTTGGAGGACTATTCCAAAACTACTCCTCTGCTACTTAAAATTCTTCTAATTTCGAATCTAAATTTATCCATAGCTACTTCATAGCCATTGATATTGTGGCAGTGTTGTTTCTTAGCTGAAAAATCTCTTTCCTTCCCTAATATTTATTTATGGATTATACTTGTAAAGGGTGACCATATCACCTTTTAGTCTGCAATTTGTTTAGCTAAGTCGAGCTCCTTTAATCTTCTTTCATAAAAAAGAGTTGCCATTCCTTTGACCTTCTTACTGACCCTTCTTTGAATCCATTCCTATTTCAGTTAGTCTTTTTTGAATATTGATGACCAGAACCGCACGTTATTCTAAATGGGATTTTACCAGTGCCTTGTAAAATCATAGCAGTATCTCCTTGTTTCTACTAAATATACCATCCCTGCAAAAGTCAGATAATTCACATTTTTTTAAACATGTTTTAAGACAACTCCTTATCTGACTCATAAATGTAGTGCTGTCCTCTCCAGTTTGACCTCTGAGGTACAAAGCTTTGCTTAAATCTAGATAAATTACATTCACTGAATTATTCTTATCCAGAAAATCTGTTACCTTGTCATAGATGAGTATTAAAGATATTGATTTAGAGGGATAATAGTTTAGGATAATTTAGAAGGATATTAAGTTAGTCCTACCTAAACTGTATAATCTGTGGTTATGTGTACTGCAAATGTTGTGGTAAGCAGGAAGGACAGATTGGCAGGGACTGGGTGCCTGATAGACAAACTTTACTTTGGAAAGAAAATAATATGTGAAAATGAGCCTTATCCAGTGCAAAATAAGCATTGCTTTAGGAACCAATACACTTGGTGATAGTTTTGTGTCAGCAGCATGTTTATTCCAAAGTGAGATTTTTTTTCCAGCTAGTATTTTTTTTCCCTATACTGTAGTAGAGGAAGTTATAGTAGAGTTAACTACTGTGGTAGTCAACTAGCTGTGTCAGAATTGTATGGTCTTTCTGTGTACATAAGCAAAAATGTTTTGGCATGGTAAGAATGTATTAATAGAAGTTAAACAAATTGGCTGATTATTTTTCATTTGGAAATGTTGCACATTACTAATTGCAAATAGTAAAATACATAGAAAAGAAAGCATTCTGATTTTCAAGTTTTTAAGATAGTTGTTTCTGCAGTGGAGAGCAGTAATAAAATTAAAACTATGGTTGTGCCTTCTGTTCCTTACTCAAGAGGTATGACCATATAGGAAGGCATATCCAAGTTTGCTTAACATAGCTAGCTTGAGTACCTGGTGAAGATATGGAAACATGAGTTTCAGCCCAGTGAGTAAGTAACCAGGGAACCTCAGCAAGCCTTTATGGTCCAAGCCACCACATTTTCACTTTTGTGGCTCAACCTACCTAGATACAGTCATACCTTCAATAAAAATGTAAACATAGCCTGTGTCACATGTGTGGCATATGACAGAACAAGGAGCAGTGGTCTCAAGTTGCAGCAAGGGAAGTTTAGATTGGATAGTAGGAAAAACTGTCTTACTAGGAGGGCAGTGAAGCACTAGAATGGGTTACCTAGAGAGGTGCTGGAATCTCCATCCTTCAGGGATTTAAGGCCCGGCTCAACAAAGCCCTGGCTGGAATGATCTAGTTGGGGGTGGTCCTGCTCTGACAGGCGGTTGGACTAGATGTCCTTAATTTCTAACCCCAATTTTCTATAATTCTATTTACTTGAGAGTGTCCCTTCATCTTCAAAATACATGGGCAATTCTGTCTGTTTTTTGTAAAAGGAAGACTTAAGATGATTTTTGGTTGTTCTGCTTATGGATGTGAAATTAGAAGACCAGTTTTATAAATTCTGCAAAATATGTTCTTTTTCCTCTTTTGCATGAGTCAGACTAACTTTCTGTCGGCGCACTCAGCCCGGGATGAAGCAGCGAGACTGGAGGAGCGCAGGGGAGTTATTGAATTTCATGTAGTTGGAAATTCCCTGAATCAGAAACCAAACAAAAAGATTATGATGTGGCTAGTTGGCTTACAGAATGTATTTTCCCATCAGCTACCTAGAATGCCAAAGGAATATATCACACGCCTGGTCTTTGATCCGTGAGTACCTTCACTTTTGATGTTCAAGTTAAATATGTTCAATAGAAACACAGCAAGGGCCTGATGCTGGTAGAGAGGAGCTAACAAGAAGTGGGCCAGTTGATGCTATGTGAAGGAGGCAACATCTTTGCACAATACTACCACACTCCAATATTCTGAGGTCCCCTGCATACACTCTAAATGGGGCTAGTTAGAGTGGAATGTCCTGGGGAGCTGTACACACGACATGCTTCCCTAAAATCAGCGCTGAAAATCAGTAAATGATTACAGCAACTACTGCAGCTTGGATCTATACTAACTCTCAGCCTGCTTCTTCCTTTCTCTGTGGATATACTAGCAACCCACAGCTGGAGTGAGGGGAGCCAACTGGCAACACAGTAGAAGATCTGACCATGCAGCCCTGGGGAAGGGAGCTGCCTAGACAGACAGGTTCTGGTTATTCAGTTCTGAGCTCTCCAGGCATATAGTAAACAGGTTCCTGTGCCTCGGAGAGAAAGTTTCTAGGGTTTACAAAGGTGAATGATATTTAAATCCATAAATGTTATAATCAGTCCAGAACTTCAAACAAAAAATCATTCCTTTTACTTTACAATGTATCTCTTAGAATATGTTTTGGATTATAGTGCAGCACTTCAAGTAAGTTCAAGTGTCAGAATTTAAGGACTCCTTCAAACTAAATGTGTTTCAGCCATTATTTATTGGCTACATACACCCATTTAGATAATCTGGGAGAATTCTCCAAGGTATGTTCTCCTGGTAGAGACACTTACCCAGAGCTGCATGCACAGACATTCGAATGCTGAGGCCCTGAAGAGTGGAGAGCTTGCAGTGCTGACATTGTGCAGCCGGTGGGGGGCCAAGGGGAGGGGCTGCGCATACATCTCAGCATGCTCTACAGGTTGCTTTAGTCTGCCTGGTGACAGATGGCAGCAGTGTATAGGGCAGCACTGATCGACTGACCTAGACTGTCCATGGTCAACCTGTGTTTCCTTGCAGCTCAATGTGGGAATTGTGAAGGGGAGTGTTCTGGAGCAGCAGTGTCCAGCGAGTGACACACTGGGCATGTCTACATGAGATGCTGTGGTGTAGTAGCAATGAGTTACTGCACAGTAGCTTGTTGCTACTGTGCAGTAGCATTGGGGAAAAAAATGTGCAGTGATGGTACTGCACAGTTGCAACAGCATAAGTACTTGCATAAGTACTAAATGACTATGCAGTAACAACTGTGTAGTCTGCTGCACATGTAGATGTGGCCACTGTGTCCCTAAATGCTGGGGCGGAGGGTAATGCTGGAGGACTATATTCCTCTTCCGAGAGAAGCCACAGTTTGTACAGATATTTGCTCTCCCAGGAGACACTGTCCTTGGAATAATTTAACCTTGATTGTTCCCAAGTTACTTTCCCCTGGAGTAACCATTTTTACTTTGGAGAAAAAGAACCTGAATATCTGTATATATGTGTTTTTTCCTGCATGAGCAGTGACTCTCACAGGAAAAACTGAGTGTCTGTAAGAGGCTGTTATGTAGTGTTATCTAATTACCTAAGTGCTCCCCCTCATTGAATTTTGATGATGAACTGCTTAAGCATTGCAAATATAAGAAAACAAAACTAAAAGCACAAACAAACAAAGTGAAATGCTGATCTGAAAGGTACTGACCAATATAATACAAGCAGCAAGTGGTAACATGCTTGCTTTCACTTTCACACAGATAAAATGAGCATCAAAATAACTACAAGGAGAACAGATAAAAACAAGTGATAAGTGATTGGCTTGGATTAAAATATATGTGTATATTAACCTCCAGGGAAGGAAGCTTTTTAAAAACTTCCTGGGCTGCAGTGACAGATAAAATGAGGCTGTTTTACTGAGTAACTTTAGGAAGGAGTTCATTTGATGAACACATTGTGCTGTGTTTGCTTTATTATTTAAAGCAGAAGTTGAGCATTACAAATAAGTTAGTATATTACTTTCCAAACTTACTGAATGAATATAGATATCAGAAAGTTCTTAGAAACCTATAAGAAGTCATCATTGTTATAAGGAAAATATTTGGTCAGCAGCACAAACTATTGGCTAGCTAAATAAATAGAAGTGATACAAATTGTTTGTATTGAAATTTACCGTAAAATTCTTGAACCTTGTCAATAGAGGTTGAAAAATATAACCTAGTGTGTATCTTCCAGCTCCAGATATAAACGAGGCTGAAACTGATGTATCCTGGTTTTCAGATATTATTAAGAATCGGTGATTAGAAATGCATAATTTCCTGGTCATCTGTTAGAAACTGATCGTTTAAGCTGTGCAGATTTCATGCAGGAAACCAGGCATCTGATAGTACAGCCCAAGTGTCCTGCAGCTCCATTAATTTCTAATTGATAAGAAAAACAGACCATTAATAACAGAATCAGTGAAGGCAATGAAATTCTTACTTGTATTACCTTAATGCTTAGGAAGCCTCATTGTGCTAGTGAACTGCAAAGACAAAGCTTGATACATTTTACATTAAGTGTAGAGCATGATGTTAAGATTATAACTGTTCAGTAGATTTAGCAAAGGCATTCATGGTTGCCTTGGGGCTACAAAAAAAATGACATTTTTAAAAAGAGGGCAACTGTGATATGTACATGAACTAAAGCTATCATTATTTTATACATTCAGAAAACACAAGACACTTGCATTAATAAAAGATGGCCGTGTGATTGGTGGTATCTGTTTCCGGATGTTCCCATCTCAAGGATTTACAGAGATTGTTTTCTGTGCTGTGACTTCTAATGAACAAGTCAAGGTAAAGAGAACGTTAGAAGTGTATTACAGGCATCTCAGTAAACCCGAGTTCTGAGGAGTCTCAACTTGCAAATGGATTATAGCTACAGTTTAGAAACTGCTGTCTCTTCTAATTTCCACTTTCTGTACAGGAATATTCAACAATATATTTAACAAATCAGTCTACTACGTAAAAATAATTTAGATGCATTGCCTGAGGATCTTCACCTTACTAATTAAAAACTTCATCAATAAATATTCTATTGCAGGGGTGGGCAAAATGGCCAATCTGGATGTACCGGGGCTCCATTTCCCAGCAGCCCCTGCCGCTGGGTCAGTCTCCATGGAGACCTCAGCCGCATCTGTGCAGGAAAGCTCAGGCT